GGTGAACATTGGGTTATACAAAGTGAGACTGGAGAATTAATAATGAAAATAAGCAAAAGACAGATGAATTCAACATGTATTTTGCACATTTCTTCACTATAGAAGTGACAAGTAACTTCCCAGAAGCAGTGATAAATCCGGAAATGGAAGAGAGGAAATCATATTCACAACCACCAGGGAAGTGGTACTGTGTAAATTATTGAAATTGTGAACTGACAAGTGCTGGGGTCCTGATCAGCCTCATAATAGGGTTTTAACAGAAATGGCTAGTGAGATAATTGTTGCATCAGTTTTATTTTCTAAAAACTCACTTGATTCAGGGAAGGTACCATTAGATTGAAAAATATCAAAAAAGGAGTGAGACAGAAAGTGTGAAATCCTAGGCCAGTTAGTTTAACACCTGTCATTGGGAAAATGTTAGAAGTTACTGCAAAGATTACTGTGGAAACAGAAGCTTGTAGAATGGGGGAAACACATTGGCAAGGATAAAAAATTGACTGGCAAACAGAAAGTAGAATCGGCATACCATAAAAGGGTCTTTCTCTGGTTGGCAAGACATAATGAGTAGTGTGCCACAGGGATTGGTGCTGGGACCTCAACTATATATAATTTATATAAGTGACTAGGATGAATGGACAGAAGATATCGTTGCCAAGTTTGCTGACAACACAATGTTAGGTAGGAAAGTAAGTTATGAAATGGACATAAGGAGGCTACAAAAAGAAGTAGATCGGTTAAGCGAATGGGCAAAGATGTGGCAAATGGAATCTAATGTGTGAAAATGTACAATTATCAATTTTAGCATAAAGAATAAAAAAGCATATTATTATCTAAATGGTGAAAGATTGCAAAGCTCTGAGGTTCAGAGAGATTTTGGTGTTTTATAACATAAATCACAAAAGACCAGCATATAGGTACAGCAAGTAGTTAATAAAGCTAACAGAATGTGAATGCATTGGAAGCAGATCAAAGCGAGTTTACCATATTCACACTTGGAACAAGTGGGTTGTCTTATGGGCACAGTTAGACAGGCCATTTTGGAAGAATAAGAGATGACTTGGTTGAAACACAGAAGATCCTGAGGGAGATGGTAGGAACTGCAGGTGCTGGAGAATCTGAGATAACAAGGTGTAGAGCTGGATGAACACAGCAGGCCAAGCAGCATCAGAGGAGCAGGAAGGCTGACGTTTCGGGCCTAGACCCTTCATCAGAAAATGGGGGATCCTGAGGGATCTTGACAGAGGGTGAATCGGCGGGGGGAGGCGGTGGGGGAGGATATTTCCTCTTGTGGAAGAATCTAGAACTAGGGAGTCACTATTTAAAAATCAAAGGTCATCCATTTAAAACAGAGATTAAGTGATTCTTTTTTTCCTCTCAGAGAGTCATGATCCTTGGAAACTCTCTCTGTCCGGAAAGGTGGTAGAAGTAGAATCCTTGAATATTTTTAAGGTGAAAGTAAATAGTGAATGAAAGGGGTTAAAAGGTTACCGAGGTAAGTGGGAATGCAGATTTGAGGTTACAATCAGAGTAGCCATGATCTTATTAAATGACAGAGAAGGCTCAAGGCTAACCAAAAGAACCTTCTCTGTGCAATCATTAATTAGTTCTATCTTGTTGCACAGTACAATAACAGGTCTATTATAGCCTACTGTCTGATCAACTTCAGGATACGCTGTTCTAAGAAACTAAACAAAATTATTCTATTAACTATTAATCTATGCTACCTTTTCTAGACTCCTGCCATTCATAAATGGCCTGCACTCGTGAAAATTCAGGTCCCACTCCATATCATCCTGCAGGCATGTCACTGCAATGCCTATCATATCATCCTTACTTATTTGCATTCTCAGTTCATCTGTTTTGTCAAATGCTACATGCATTCAAATACAGAGCCTTTACTTTTATCCATTTACTTTGTTTGTAAATTCTAGTCTCATCATTTGGTTTACTCTTAGATTGTTGCTGTCTATCCCTTCCTGTCAGAGTCTGTTCATCATTTCCCCTATTTGACCTCGACTGTACTCATCTATTCACATCTTCCCAAGTTTCATCCTTTGCCCTCACTATTTAAAAATCCTCTCTACTGCCCTAATTAAATGATTGGCAAGAACATCAGCCTCAGCACAGTTAAGGTACAGACTGATCATTGGTACAGATCCCACTTTCTCCAGTAATGGTGCCTCTGTCCCGTGAACCAGCATCCATTTCTTCCAAATCACTCAATTCTCTAATCTGATGTCCAATGCCAATTTGCATGCAGCCAGAATAATGCAGAGATTATGACCTTTGAGTCTCTGCTTCTTAATTTGGTGCCCAGCTCCTCATACTGACTCTGCAGAACAATGACAGATCAGTGGAAGTAAATGGTGAAAACTTAAATCAAACTAATGGGAATACACGGATTTTAGCACTCTATAATCTGCATAATTACCTAACTACAGATGTTGACAAATGTGCTGCATACTTTGACATTTTTTACATTTATTTAATATTGATCAGTTCGGGTAACAGATACAGAGGATCTTAAATTTTGTGCCCATAAATCTATCACATATAACCTTATTATAGAATTCTATGGCAAAAATAGACTCTCAGGCCTATTGTGTTGAACTGGCTGTCTGAGCGTTTTTGGTTGGTGCCAGCTTTCTACTTTTTCCTTGTAACCCCAAACATTGTTTCTGTTTAAATAATTATCTATTGCTCTGTTTGATGCCTCAATTGAACGTGCATCCATCATATTTCTAGGCAGTGCATTCCGTTCCCGAACCACTTGCTGTGTAAGAAAGATTTCCTCATGTCACATTTGCCTCTTTTGCAGAACACTTAAAACTCTGTGCCCTCTGGTTCACAATCCTTTTATGATTGGAACAGTTTCTCCCTACACGCTCT